CCCAGCCGCTCCGCGGCATGTGGGATCTTCCCGGACCGGGGCACGAACCCGAGTCCCCCTCATCGGCAGGCGGACCCTCAACCACTGCGCCACCAGGGACGCCCCATAACACTTTTTTTGTTGTACGTTTTCATATTTTAAAATTAAGCTGATTTAATGGAGAGCACTTTTAAAAAATACATTGTATTTTAAATTTTACCCCCTATTTCCTGTTCTTACTATCTTTAAAAAGAGACAAAATGATCTACTTTGTATTTGTTTTTAACTTTTCTAACTCTTACCTATAACATGAGGTTGTTATGAAGATGAAATGATTTACTACGTGGAAAGGTGTATTTTAAAAATAGAAGAGTGTGTCAAAGGTGCTCATCTTTCTATTACTAAGTAGTGCTTATTCTCAGGAAGTCGGGGTGCACACACAAGGTCATTTTCAGCTCTCCTTGCTTGCTTTTCACATGACCTTTGTCACTCTTACTTGTGTTCTAGCAAGTGATTTGTCAGGCAGGGCCTATAGTTTTAATTCAGAGAAATGAAGAAATGACCACTTTTAAAACTTGATAAAAATGTGAACCTATTTTTCATGATGCAAAATTAAAAATCAGTTTTAGAGTATCTGTTCTTATTGTCTTCACATAACCTGTAAAACTCTCCAGAACCGCACCCAGCTCGGTTTTGCGTTATTGTAAAAATTCCATTTGTGGCAACAGCGTTTTTTAGACTTCCTGTGGTGCTTGATTCATTAACTTCTTGTTTTTTAAAGGATTACAACCGCATCGGTTAAAGTTAATTTCAGTTTTGTTCTTGTGCAGTCATTTCTCTCAGCCCTTGTTAGCCCTACTTGCAATTCTGAAACCTATTTCTTTGCTTGTGATGCCCTTACAGGAATTTGTAAGTGTTTGGGTTCGAGATCCTAGGATTCAGAAGGAGGACTTCTGGCATTCTTATATTGACTATGAGATATGTATTCACGTAAGTATGCCGTCAGTAGTCCATAGAAATCATAGTAATTTTTAGGTAGCATACATTTGATGGGATACTATGATATACTTATAATTGAAATTTATAAAAATTTTTCTAATTCAAAGAACTGAATTTGAATGATTACAGTTAGTGCTTGTCTCTTAAATGAACTAGTACGATGGTTCCTAAAGTTCTTTATTTGAATTCCTTATTGTACCTTTGTTAATATTTTAATGTTTATTGCCTTCATGTATGAAGATGTGAATACATCTAAAATTCAGAAAGAGTTTTTATAGCTCATTAATGGCATTTCTTTATGATCTGTTATAGCATATTTCTAGAGACTATATTGCCTGATAAATCTTAGGTTTTGAGAGGATGTAGAGTTCTCTGGAAAAGAGATGTGCAGTGTTTTATATGTAGAACAGGAAAGTAGGAAATGAATATATGGAATTATTTTGCCTTAGTCTCCATTCTGAGTAATTAAGTAAATAACTAGAAATGATTTACTTTACTTGGAAATAGTACTGTATCATAATCTCTTGAACAGTGTTGTGTGGTGTGTCGCCTCCTCTGATTATCTTGAATGAGGGTCAGCAATCTTTTTCTGTAAAAGGCCAGGTAGTAAATACCTTTGGCTTTGTGGGCCATACAGACTCTCAAAATTACTCAGCTCTGTTGTTGTAGGGTGAAAGTAGCCATAAACAATACATAAATGAATGAGTGTAATTGTGTTCCAATAAAAATTTATTAGTGAAGACAGCTGGTGGCTGGATTTGGCCCACAGGTGTACATAGTTTATTGGCCCTTGATCATGAAGATAGTCACTTCTTTTGTCTAATTTGGTCCAGACTTTTCTTGAGAGCATAGAAATGGGCTCAGAATTTATCTGTGACTGTATATAGGACAGGTGAGATAAAATTTAGCCATCCTTTGGTCTTCACATTGTTAATAGCTACATTGGTATATTGGGTACCCAGATACCACCCACAAAACTTCTTTCTTTCAAAGTTCCCCGACTTAGAAAATAAAGTAAAAACTCAGAACTGCTTTTTTTGATGATTGTGTTGAAGCCCATTGCCAGGGTATGCCTTGTATTTTGTATTTTGATTTTGTTTTGGTTTTACTCATGAGGTCACACCAGATATGCATTCTGTGTGGAAAATTATAACACAAGTATGTAAGACTAAGCATTTGAGAACGAAATGAAATTCTTTAGTTGCCTTTTGACTTCCTCTAAAAAATTTGTGGGTCCTTATGACACACTTTATAGTAGGCATGAAATTTAATTATCTTCAGGGAGTTAATGAAAGTATAGATCCTTCTCTTCTACATAAATAACATGATGTGAATTCAGAAATGTCCATCTAAAACCAGAAATAATGGGTTCCACACATGTTATTTGGTGGCGGCTCTGGTGTTTCTCTGAGATGCTTATAAACTGACAATGAATAAATGTTCTTGGCTTGATAGATAGCAGAAACAAGCAACTAGATTTAGAGGAACTTAATAAATTAGTGATCTCAGTGTAGCCTGATCCTGAAGAGGCTTCTACCTATTGTTGTACGATTAGGAATGGGTGGGGAGACTGGAGAGTTCTTGTTACCTTCATTTAGATGCTGTACCCATAGAGCTTTGCAGGTAGAGAAGCTGGTGTTTAACACACTTAAATTAACCTCAAGGGAAATGATACCAGGCAACTCCGAAGTTGTAGCATTTACTTGGAATTTTAAACTAGTGGACTGTCGAGGTGGCTAGTCCTTCGTATATCCTCTCCTGAGCTTGTCCTGCAAATGAAGGACTTACAGATAGACCTTTGTCTGGTGTAAGCACCAGATGGATCTCCAGTTATTGCATGCACAGTGATTCTGAGCAGAGAAATGAAAGGCAGTTGAACTGAACTCCACCTCTGCCTGAGGTTCAAGAGGCCCTGCCGTGGCCTGGTCCTCTCTGGGGGGAGAGCACTGAGAGGATACTCACCCAGGCCTTGTTAGGGCACGAATTCTGGAGTAAACGGCCTACTGCCTGAGTCCCTAAGGGTCACGTTAGAGGGAGGCCCTGGTGTGCTTTGAAATCCACACACACAACATTATTGTTATTATTTTTATAAACTTACTTTACTTATTTATTTATGGCTGTGTTGGGTCTTTGTTGCTGTGTGCAGTCTTTCTCTGGTTGCGGGGAGCGGGGCCTACTCTTCGTTGCAGTGTGCAGGCTTCTCATTGCGGTGGCTTCTCTTGTTGCGGAGCACAGGCTCTAGGCACGCGGGCTTTGGTAGTTGTGGCATGCGGGCTCAATAGTTGTGGCTCGTGGGCTCTAGAGCACAGGCTCAGTAGTTGTGGCGCATGGGCTTAGTTGCTCCGCGGCATGTGGGATCTTCCCGGACCAGGGCTCGAACCCGTGTCCCCTGCACTGGCAGGCGAATTCTCAACCACTGCGCCACCAGGGAAGTCCCACAACGTTAGGATTGTGCCACAGACTCCATCCAGTGCGTTTGCTGCCGTATCGTCCATGACAGGATTTAGGCCAATAAGTATTTTGGGGGCAAGTCTCTTAACCTCTCTGCATCCTGAGGTTCTTTGAATTTTAGGAAGTTCAGGAATACCAGGAACTGTGCCATACATTTCATGGGAATGGTTAGGAACTAATGTACACCGTCCCTGACACTTTCCAAGGAAAACAGCGGCTGGGTGCTTATTAAGTGGTAGGTTGATAACAGTTTTTGAAATGATATAAATCTTGGGGGCAAAAAAATTTCCCATTTGGTAGTGTAAAGATTATGAAATAGAATTTTGAAATTAATCGGTACAGTAGAGATCTTCTTACAAAACCAACAGACAAATAAGCCAGTCTCTTGTTTTACAGAAAGGAGAAACACACATATTTACCAGCCTTGTGTTTACCCAAAGAAGCATTGCTGTTTTGCTTCGGGTAGGGACTCTGAGGGTGGCTTTTTCTAAGTTTGCCTTAAGGTAGCTGGAAGGAAACCAATGTCTAGTATCTAATAATACTATTAAGAGATAACATTTGCCATGTGCATACTATCAATCCTAATAACAACAACCCTGTGAAATTGGGATGTACTATTTCATCCCCATTTTACCATTCAGGGAACTGGAGTTGAAGTGACTTGCCTTACAGCAGAGCCAGGACTGGAATTTGGGTCCTCCATGCACATACTCGTCCTGTGCACCACATGTCTCTTTTTACTTGCTCACGATTCCTTGCACATCTAAGTAGAGAAGGGAAATGCTGATCTCTTGTTTAAAAGTGATTTCAGGATTCTGGGTGATTTGTGTGATCTGTGGCGATGGCCATATCAAGGACACAACAGCTTCTGCGATGTCATGTGAAGGACCAAGAGAAGGTGTTTCTAATCCCCAAAGGCTTCTCCACGGATGGATGGATGGGGTTGAATGCAGTGGATGACCCTGAGCTCTTATTGGTCATTTATTCTTCAGGATTTGTTTAATGTTTATGATTTGTCTCTGAAGGGAGTGCTGATAGGTGAGCAGGAAGGTACTTCAGGACTCAGGGAAGGGCAGGGTCATGCCTTGCCCCAGGACAACACTGCTCATTTATGTCACCCCAGCTGTCTTCATGGATGCTGTATTGGTGGGTTATGTGCACTATTTGAGTCTGGCATAAATGCAAATGTATTTTTGATTTTTAAAATCCTACTTTAGATGAATATTGGGGGGCATATAGGGAGTTATAGATATAAGAAAAGCATTTTTTCCTCAAGTGAGGCTTATATTTTTTGTTTTCTTTAAACAGACCAATAGCATGTGTTTTACAATGAAAACATCCTGTGTACGAAGAAGATATAGAGAATTTGTGTGGCTGAGGCAGAGACTCCAAAGTAATGCATTACTGGTGTAAGTGATTTAAAGAGTATATTGAGGAGACCTTATTATTACATTCAATATTTTAAAATTGGACATGCCACTATATATAAAATAAACAACAGTGATTTACTATATAGCACAGGGAACTATATTCAATATCTTGTAATAACCTATAATGGAAAACAATCTGATAAACAATGGAAAACACCTGAAACTAACACAGTAATTGTAAATCAACTATACTTCAATTAAAAAGTTGACATGGGGCTTCCCTGGTGGCGCAGTGCTTGAGAGTCCGCCTGCCGATGCAGGAGACGCGGGTTCGTGCCCCGTTTCGGGAAGATCCCACATGCCGCGGAGCGGCTGGGCCCGTGAGCCATGGCTGCTGAGCCTGCGCGTCCGGAGCCTGTGCTCCGCAAATGGGAGAGGCCACAACAGTGAGAGGCCCGCATAACGCAAGAAAAAAAAAAAAGTTGACATGTATTAAGATATATAAAATATGAAGGATTTTGTAGGCTTTCTTCTTGATCGCAGTATATAGCTTTAGTTAGTTTTTTTTGACTACTGCATCTGAATTCAAAATTTATCACTTGAATTATACCAACATGTATGAGTATTGACCATGGAAGTCCTCAAAAATGTTTTTCTTTGTTTAATTGATTTTCTCACACCCTTATTATATAATATAACCATATAATATGTATATAATAGTTGTGTGATAATTATCATGCACAATTTGCTTTCATTTTGAGGGATTTCTGTAACTAAACCACCTTAATTTGATGATTAAAAGCATTTTTTTTCTTTCTCATAAGACAACTGCCAGAACTTCCATCTAAAAACCTATTTTTCAACATGAACAATCGCCAGCACGTAGATCAACGCCGTCAGGGTTTGGAAGATTTCCTCAGAAAGTAAGTGTGCCGAAACTTTTGCAGCCAGACGGGAGATATGAGCACAGTGCTTTGCAAGAGTTGAGTGTCCTGTGATCAAGTCGGGGAGAATGTTTCTGTTTCTAAAATGCTAGTAATCTGCTCTGGAGGGACTCTCAGTAGTTCATTTCCTATATTAGAGCACCATCTTGTGGCTCACATCACACAGTGCATATTCGGGACCAAACTTTCCAGAAAGAAAACAATAAACTAATTGAATCAGATAGTAAATGTATACTCCCTTAAGCTATAAAGCAGAGCCAAATTGCTTGGGAGTTTAGCTGACAAAAGTAAAATTTGCCAGGAAACAAATGTGCCTTATTAAAAAGGCACTTCTTAGAAATTCTCTTTATTTACAACATTTAGGATCAACAGACCGAAATCAGCTCTACGATGGGCTGCTAATACCCTTCTGAGCTCCTCTAAATGAATAGCTTAATGATACTCTTTGGAGAGAATGTTTATAAGGGAGTATTAATTGGTGTTTAAATAGTCTCAGTGGGTTATTAACTCTGGGGTACTTGGTGATGGTTGGTACTGCAGTGAAAGTGACTTGAATTTACACTGCTATAATTCCCCTTTTTTTCCACTCTGGAATGCTGGAATACCTACCTATCCCACTGGACAACGCAGTGGTTTGCACACAGACTCTAAGGCCAGACTTCCTGAGTTCAAATCCTGCTTCTGCTACTTGTTAGCTGGGGACTTGGGCAAGTCTTTTATCTCCTCTGTGCCTGTGTTTGCCCATCTATAAAATGGGGTAATAATAGTATCTACTTCATAAGGTTGTCGAGAGGATTAAATCAGTTAACAAATGTAAAGCACTCACGAAAGACTGACATATAATGTGTGGTATCCAAGTATTGGCCATTATTTTAATGCACTTAAATGAAATAGCTTTGAGCTAATTTTTCTATCTTCCTATTTTGTAGATAAGGAAATAGGTTGAGTCCTATGACCACTAGTTAGTGGCGGGGCCCAGTCTCCTGAACTGTCTTTTTCTACTAGCTTCAGGATCTGAAGCCGTCTCCTTTTGAGTTTCCTACACAGTAACTTTGAGCTAGCCTGAAATAATATACTGCCCTCTCCCCATATGGTTCACTCATCAAGGGTTTGGGTATTAAGTATCCACATGAATATTAACATTTATTTCTATTAGATTGATATCATGCTTTTCCTTTGAGGGGGTCATGGAGACCTACAGAAACATCTAAGATTATAAATTGAGGGAGGGTCAGAAGAGAAAAAGAAGGCAGAGGAATAAAAATGACAAGAGACCAGGAGAATTGATTAACCGAGCCAAGTTCTCGGAAAACCTCACAGTGGTATTCTTTGGGGTATCATAGGCATGACAAAGACCCAGTCAAGTTTCTTCTGCCCCTTCCCTTTGGGGATAGCTCCAATTTTAATTGTCTGTATGGGACCCAGGTGGCTAATGGCCTCTCCCTTAAGACGTGGTCCCCGCAGCCAAGGTTGCAGAGTGGCTTGTCGCTCCAGATGCTGCTCAGGGAAGCTGCAGACTGGCCATCGCCAGTGAGGCCTGGACAGAGCTAGTCAAATCTTGCAGTCCAGATAAGCGCTGGGGAGCTACATGTTTTTTTATTAATTAATTAATTTATTTTTGCTGTGTTGGGTCTTAGTTTCTGTGCGAGGACTTTCTCTAGTTGTGGCAAGCGGGGGCCATTCTTCATCGCGGTGCGCAGGCCTCTCACTATCGCGGCCTCTCTTGTTGCAGAGCACAGGCTCCAGACGCGCAGGCTCAGTAGTTGTGGCTCACGGGCCTAGTTGCTCTGCGGCATGTGGGATCTTCCCAGACCGGGGCTCGAACCCGTGTCCTCTGCATTAGCAGGCGGATTCTCAACCACTGCGCCACCAGGGAAGCCCGAGCTACATGTTTTTGGTAGAGAAATCTCCTTATTTGAGATCAAAGGACAGTCTGTGTCTCTATATTTATGTTGCTGGTTAAGTGCAGGGCATGTGTTTTTCAACAAGGAATCTCTTCATTGTTTTAAACATGACCTTTCCTTGCACAATTGGTCAACCAGATTCATGCCAGAGTGAGAGTCACTGGGCTGCAGAGGGGTTGTGCTTAGTTACTCTAGGTTGTTTGGGCATGCTGTGTCGTTTGGCAGTTTGCTGGTTGAATCTGATGCAGAGGTCATAATGGAAAGTGTCGTGGGTCAGGGGCTTGAGGAACTGGGTTCCAGGTCTCCTGTGAATCTTGGCTCCTGAGTGTTTTCTGACTCTTCGACCTTGGAAAAGTCACCTCATTCCCATGAGCCTTGGTTTGCTAGAAAGAATGCAATAATGTAACACATGTATTGCCGACCTCGTGGGTAGTTAAGTCATTCAGAGGATGGCTTGGAAAGGACTCTGCAAACCTGTTTATTAAGTGACTGCTTTGGACCAGGCTGGGTACTGGGGATATAGGACTGCACAAGATGGACACATATCCTTGACCTCTTGAAGCTTCCATTCTAGTGGGAAGCAACTCTATACATACCAGGGATGGCTATAGATTCATTAAAATTGGGTCTGGATTACCATCCGGAAGTCAAATCATGAAACGGGCACCAAGTTCTCTTGTGATGTTATTTGTTCCATTATGGTCTGTGAACATTAGTCTCCAAGTGATGAGTTTCACATTAGAAATGAAAGCTGGTGCTTCCACGTGGTTTGAACCTGAAGGAAGTAAGGAGTCTAATGCCACACGGTTGGATTCAGTCCTGACCTAAATGCCCTGAATACTGTGACCCTTCCAAGCCTCGTCACCTTCTTTTCTGTGCCCCTCAGATTCTGATGCATAGTCTTCATGTTCTTTGTCTAGTGTGTGTAGAAATAGCAACCTCGCATGTCTTTGCCCCGTGTACACCCCCTCTGTCACCCCAGCCTAAGCCCACTTTGGGAAACTGGATGTGACATGCAACTCAGCCAGCCACCTGTGTCCTGACCCCACCTTGCTGTCCTCTGAGGCCCTGATGGTTACCCATTAAGTAGGGCCACCGTTAGTAGCCTGTACCTTGTTTGTAGAGCACTCTCGGAACTTGAGAGGGAAACACCACAGCATTAAAATGTGATACATGCCTGTGTTGTAGATTTTTAGCAGGTATTTTTAAAACTTGGTTTTTAGGTAAGTTTTGAAGTTATGAACTAAGAGCGCTATATATGTTCAAACCCTTTGAAACGAAAATGCTGCTGTCTCTGTGCATAGGTGTATGTCTGTAATACAAATATATATTTTTTCCATTTTAAGGTCATTTGTGAAGTAATACATAATTAATAGCAAAGTACATATCCAGGCCACCCTTCATAGAGGAATTAGAAAGTTGTTTCTTTGCCAGGATATCAAATAAGAGTAATTTATACTATTTTATTGAACACTGGCTATGTTTAGCTTTTTACATGTTTTACCTCAATACTTACAACGTTAGGAGTCAGGTTTCATCTCAGTTTTATAGACAAGGAAATTATAAGAAAGGTAGAGGCACTATATTAATCCCAGGAACTGGCAGGTTTATAATTAGAACTCTTAAATGCTAGCTAAATTTGGTCAGTATGATTGTGAGATTTTTAAATATATTCATTTTTCCTCAATCTTGGCTATACTCTCCCTTTTGGGTCTCCCCCCGCCCCCCGGTTACTTTTAAATTGTAAGTCACTTTTACTAATAGTTATGAAAAAAGAAGTTATAGACTAAATGATAAACTCTGTTGGTAAGTTTCTAACTATGAAATTGGCATTCCTACTAACTTTTTACATTTGATTGCTATCACAAATGGGAGCCAGCTTTCCTTCTTTACTGAATCCACCCCATTAATATAACTACATGTACCTTACAATGTAGACTTTTGTATTACAGTTTTGTATTTCTTAAGAATTTGAATAAAAAAATTTTTTTTGCCAAAGGATACCATGGAAACACTACAGCTAGTTTTATACACACACACACAATTTTTATAAGTCTTTGTGTTCAATAGAGGGCACCACAGCACAGATCATGAGTGTCTTCAATGAAGATTTGTAGGTTTGATTTTTTTCTCATGGTAAGAGGTAAACAGGCTGAATTAATTTTTTTTCCTACATCAAACTGCTAACCTTCCACACGCTATACAGATGTGTATACATATCATTATATTGGGTTCAGTAGACCCAGGGCATCCTTAGTTAGGTTTTGCATAGCTATATATATTCTCAGCTGAACCAATATATAATACACCTAATAAAATCACGTTGAGGAAAAACAGATTTTCAGCTGTGTTTAATTCAAGGAAAAACAGGTTTTGCTTTGTTTAATTTAAAAGTTGGTATGGAGAAAGGAATAACTTTTGACTTGTGTTGTAAATATCCTTTCAGAAATTCCTTTAAAATTCTAGAGGCTATTTATTGTTCCTTTTATAAAGGCTTGAAAATTGTATACATTTATTTTTATGGAGGCTTATAAAGATGACATTTTATTGACTGTTTTACTAAATACTCTTTATATTAAGTTTGAAGTTGATTTTCTGCTGTTAGATTTGTTGGTGGAAAATGTGGCACAAGAATGACTAAGGTAAAATAAGGTTTAATATTATGATGGCAGTCACAACACTCTCTGATATATACTAAACCAGATATTACTTAAAATGAACTAATTATGCTCACTGAACCAGATGGGAAAACACTCTAAAAATTTTGTATTTTTAATTTTGGAATGAAATACTGGACTGAAAATAAAAATCCTAAATACAATAAAAAAGTATTTTTGCTTATTTAAAACTCATACCCATGGAGTACAGTGGCATAAATTTAGCCAGTCAGACAGAAGCAATTCAAAAAACCTAAACTGTGCCTGGCACATGTTTCTGAACTCAGGGCCTTGTGTGGGTGTTCAGATGTTCCCTGAACATCCTTCTCCCAGTTCAGAATTGTGAGCTGGGTGTGCCGGGCTCCCTCTGGCTGTTTACCTGTGTGTCCTCCAGATGGCAGTATTAAGCAGAAAAGAAAACACTGGGAAATGAGTCTAATGCACAGTAAAATTGGAAATTGAATTATAGCTCAAGAAAAAGGACAGTAGCCTTGAGGTCCAGATCAACCTGGACTCTGATCACTTTTGTTTGCTGTACCCATGTGTTAGGTTACTAGCAAGTTAATAACAGTGTGTGACCAGTTCAAGGCTCAGTAGAATTGCTTTAGACATGAAATAAAGCTAAAATGAATTTGTGTCTAATATCATTGGCATTAATGCTCATTAGTTTTGTGGTGTAATGCCTCAAACCATCTAAAATCAGTTTTAAAGATTACCCATTATTTTATAAAGAAAATACATTTCCAGCAGAAACAAAGCAGTAAGTATAATCCTATGAACAGTTACTTGTAACATTGCTGGCAGGAAACCACTGACAAAGGACACAGGAAACACTCCGTTCAAACTTCACAGCAAATGCAAGGTAATATTAATGGGTCGTTGCTATATAAATCTTCTCTTGATTTGAAGCATTCCAAACAAAAGTGGTAAACATTTATAAAGGTAGAAAATAAATCTCAAAGAGTAGTAAAAGGGATTTATTACTTTACTCCTTATACTTGGTAAATTAATCTTTATCATGTGATATGGTCATCTTCTGAGGGCACCCAGGGCAGAGGACATGGAGGGAGTGTAAATATTTAACTGCTTTGCTTGAGACTTTGCCTTTTAAAAAGGCACAAAGGTTTTCCTTTTCCTTTTAGTAGGTCAGTAAAGAATATTTCTCAAACTACATTTGTAAGCCTATTTGAAGCAAAGAGGACAGCTGGATTTTGGTTTTGATATTGTGCATTTTTAGACGCTTGCCTTCTTGAAGAAATAATTCTGTTTTATATGGAAGAGAAGGAAATATTACAGTGACCTTGGATTTTAAGTAAATTAATATGAATGGCCAAAAGAGATTTACTTATCTAATTACTTGTTTAAAAAATGCAGAATATAAAGTAAGTTTCGTTTGGTATGAAATACATACTCTGTTTTTCATAGATCTCTATATGAAAAAATCCCATGTTGGACTGAATTACACTTGGTTTGTTATACTTGGTTTATTATACTTGGGTATAATAAGTTTCGTTTGGTATGAAATACATACTCTGTTTTTCTTAGATCTCTATATGAAAAAATCCCATGTTGGACAGAATTATACTTGGTTTATTATACTTGGTTTATTATACTTGGGTTTCAGTGTTTCAGTTTTGTCCCCTATATCTGGTCTTAGTGTCTGTGTTATATCATTATCGAGCTATTAATAGAGACTAAATTATTCTACATCAAAATCTTTGCTAAAAAGAGAAAACCAGTTTTTATTTAAATATAAGGGTATTCTTTGACATGCATTTCAGAAAAAGACACATTCACTGCTAATATGAATTTGAGCACGTGCAGATTTTGCTACAGGGCAGTTTTTCATTCTCCGTGTAGTTCTGATGCACCTGCTGAAATTTGTATTCTCTTTGTAAACTTTGATCTTGCATGTGGGAAGGCTAGTATGTACTTATTACAAAATTATCATACTTTAATTACATATATGGTAAAATTGGCTGGGAGCAGTTTTATTTAGGGACTCATTTTAAAATAGATACGTAGTGCTGCCGAAGATTTTGTAGACATTTCTAGTCAATCTTAAGTATTCAAAAAAGCCACCTCTCAACTGAGCCCTTGTGAACGTGTATATAAGCATCCTTGTAAAGTTTGAAAATGTAAGACATGCTGAGAAATCTATTGACTTTTCAATATAGTTTTTAACAGTTGTTGAAAGTTTTGATGTTTTATGACAGCCTAGCCAATAAAGATCGCAGAATTGACATGCTGGTTGGCAGTAAATTTTTTAAAAGCTGAATAAATTTCTGTGACTATCGAAGCAAAATATTTCCATAATGAATCCACATGGTCATAACAGATGCTAAATTGAAGAAATGTCCTTGGAGTTATTCTTTTAACAGATGTTCTTAACTATTAGCTTCATGTTTTTACTCACCTAAATTTCCAAATCATTGAATAAAAGTTAACATATGCTTTCATCCCTTTAATAGGCAGAGTCGTAACTGATGCCAAGTTTGCCGTAGTAGAGAAATTACTTCAGTGGCACATTTCTAATGGTTCTCTCTTTCCCACCCTATAATTGTCCATCCCCGTCCACTGGTCATGTCTCCTTTTTTCTTTTACATAGGGTCCTACAGAATGCACTTCTGCTTTCAGATAGCAGTCTTCACCTCTTCCTGCAAAGCCATCTGAATTCAGAAGACATCGAGGCATGTGTTTCCGGGCAGACTAAGTACTCCGTGGAAGAAGCAATTCACAAGTTTGCCTTGATGAACAGACGTTTCCCTGAAGAAGAAGAAGAAGAAGGGAAAAAAGAAAATGATATAGATTATGATTCAGAAAGGTATTTCCTTGCATTTTGATTTAATGTATACGTATTTATATAACACATTGTGCACATATGCGTGTGTACAGATATATACACACACTCTACTTTTTTGTTGATGTAATACTAAGATAATGAAAAAATTAATTGACTGAGATTTTATTGAGCTGTGACAGCTCATCATAGTAGTCTTCACACACACCTCCACACTGAACTAATGAATGCAGTAGAAATTCAATTATCTGCATTCTGATTATGTGACTTTCATTTAGTCAGACTTGAATTATTTGCGTTTAAATTATCTAGCTAAAAAAATATCCAACTGCACTCCAAATGGCTAATTAAAAGTCCAAATTTCCTGTCTCTCTCTGTGACTGGAGATAATTAAAGTTCTCCTCTGTTACTCAGGCTTTGAGTGTGTTGTGAAAACCAATTTCCTCTTTTTATTATTTTCCCCCTCTCTTCTTTTCCAGTTCATCCTCCGGGGTTGGACATAGTAGTGATGACAGCAGTTCACACGGATGTAAAATGAGCACAGCTCTGCAGGAATCCTGAAAAATAATTCTAATGTTACCATTTTACGAATAGCAAACTGTGCCCAGTCGTAGAGCAGAAAGCTTGCTAATAATATATTCTTAACTAAAGCTCACTGTCATATTAAGTATTTAAATTCGTAAAGATGTTGTGTTGTTTATTAGTGATACTTTTATGTTGTCCTATTTTGGCTAAGCTTCTGTAAAAAGCTAAAAGCCAGTGAATGCAGTATTCTCCTCGATAGGCGCACGCTATTGGTAAAACAAGATCCTGCCCTCAAATGAAATGATTTATATGTTTAAAAAAACCTAGTTGGCTTTATTGTATTTTAAAAGATAGGTAAATAGGTAGCATTTGAAATCCAGATAGAGCATTCCTTCTTGTATCACTGGGGCAGTGTTAGCATAAACACAGCAGGTATGGTCTTAGCCGCTAGGAATAGGAAGACTTTCGGCACAGACCAGAATGCCTCTCTCAGACAGGCGGCTGGAATTCTGTGGGTACCTCCCCTGCACTGGGAAAACACTTACTTTTGGGGTGGTTGATTGAAATGTTTTAAGAGTGTTTAACCTTTCCAGTATTCTATTTCACACGTAAATGGAAAATGTATCTTATGAATAGAGAGACGTTAAAATTATGTTTACATCTTAGAGAAAAAGCCCAGAAATAGCACCAGTCGTTTTGCTTATATTTGCAATATATAGATTCAGAAATACATTTTCATTGTCCAAAATCAGCTTTAACACATGGTTTCTGGAAGCAAACCATTTGTTTTCATTATCTGTGTGTAATTAGAATTAGAGGTTCATGATTTATTTTCTGACTTAATGTGGAATTTCTTATCACTAGATACCTTTCAGTGTCAGTGACAGTTGCTTGTTACTTTTTTAAGTTAAAAGTAGGATCTTATAAAAATTAATAAATTTTGCCAATAAATATTCCCATAATTTAGAAAAGGATATGAACTTGCTAATTTCAGAATTAATTATTCATTTTTAAAAAGTCCTTTCTTTTAAGGCATTTGCCTGAGCATCTATAAATGCTTATTTTATAAAGCAGTAATTAAATGTCTTTTTTTTTTTTTTAGTGGCCCAAAGATTAAATGTCTTACATAAAGTACATTGAACTTCAAATTTCAGATAAAGCAGCATTTTCTTGAGATAACTGTTCAGGTTTCTTCCTTGTTGAATGGTACAAAATATCTCTGAAATTAACAGGAAGATATTTTTACATAACTGGTATAACTTGTTGCCTCAATTAAATATTACCTCACCTCATTTTATTTTAACTAGGAGTTTAAAAGTATTATTTAAAGAGTCTTTGAAATGCTTGTAACTAAGAACCAACAGAAAAAATTAAATTTAGAATACGAATGATCTCCTTAATTTCGCCTTTTTGTTTTTTGTTTGCTCTAAAACATTATTGAACTTTTCGTAAATATTTTGATTTAAGGTATCTTGGATCTTGTTACTTTGTCATCTAAGACTCATTATTTTAATATGGGGGAAAAAAAGATTTAGCAATTTCTTTTTATCTTGCTAACATGTAAAGTTTGCCATCCAGTCATTTGAGTGTGATCCCTAGGTCCTTGGCAATACGTATTTGCATTCACGTTATTTCTGTTTTACTGCAGTTTTGAAAAGCATATAATGTGCCACCAATCGTCATGTGATTTTTAGATGATGTAACTATAGCTATCAAAATTGATATGAAGTAATGCCTAATACTGTGATATGTAAACTTCATGAGATCTTCATTTTCACATTAAACATGAAAAAATCAACTTCAGTTTGTTGGATCGCTCATTTTATACAAGAGAATATATTTCTTCTGTCTTAGATCTAAATTCAGTGTGTTTCTGAATGATTAGTAATTTTTAATGAATAATTTTGGTAAAATTTGGTTTCATATTCACTGTAGTTGTGTACATTTAAGGTTTAGCCTTGGTTTGGTTGTTTTGATATCTAAGCACTGGCTTCTTTAAACTGATTTCCTGCAGCTGAAATATTTAAATGAACTTCAGCCCCCAATGGCTTTCTTGTTTTGTTCAAGTCTCTTATTTTTCTCCGCCATATTTTTATAAAGCTTTCTTTAGAAAAAGAAAACAATTACTTAAATAACTAAATAGCATAGATGTTTATTTAAAGCTATTTTAAATGTAACAAATTTAAAGAATTCTAATCCTGGTTGCTTTATGATTTACATACAAAAAACTGTATTTCCTTGGCTAATTCTTAAAGGGTACACTTATTCACCTATAAAGATAGTTTATGTGTTCTGTTTGAGAACTGGTTTTATATATAACCCAAAGGTGTCAACAATGAAAGTCAATACCTGTTACTTGAAATCCAGATAGAGCACTTGGAAGAAAGTGATTTAAATTCTAGTTAAAATTTCAAGTTTTAAAAATCACTAAGGAAAAACAGAAGTGTTAATCTTTAGTTATGTCCCTTAAGATATTAAATATCTTGCAGGAGCTTTTTAAGCCTAGTTCACATTTTACTAAGTAATTAAATACAAACAAGTGATATGCAATAACCTTACTATAGTCTGGTAAAAAAAATAAAATTTCTTTTATGGCTATTAAGAATTTAAACAAATTCATTTATCCTAGCCACAATTACCATTATATCACAACAGTAAACTGAATGTTGTTTTGAACTCAGTTTATGTTTTTTGGTGCCTTAAGGAGTCATCATTATTGAGCTACTGTGGTACAAATAAGGTTTTCAGTATTTCGGCTATAAAGGAAGACCCTTTTCCATGAAAGGCCTCTAAAATTTTAAGATAAAAATTACAAAAGTTTATTATATTTCTAAATAGTTTTCCTCTTAATATTTAAATCACTTAGTTGGTATCCTATGAATACAATGCAGCATCTTTTCAATGTAGGAACAATTTATTTCAACACAATTTTCTGCTTTTGTTTGGAATATAGACCTTTATTATATATATATAATATATATACACATATTTTCAAATACACAAAGCTGTCTGAAGTTATTGCAGTTTGACAGTCAAAGCATAGATACAATTTCCTTTGCACATAAAGGTCATAAGAAATTAATACATTTTAGTAGAATGGAGTTCAAAAAGTTTAGGACGTAAATAAGCAACAATTTCTTTAAGTTTGAAGTATTTACAAAGGATTTTGACTCTATTCTTTGCCATATGCAGCTCACAAACGAGTCACCATTGTTCCTTTAAGTCAGGCACAATTGCTCTTCACTCTTGCTGGAAACTTTTCTAGATCATTGTTATGAACAGTGCATTGGACACTAATTTATTTTAGCTGCGCAAACTCTGGTAGTGACCCTTTTCTCTTTCTCCAAAATTCCAAAGACTTGTTTTCAAAAGATAGGAAACGAGAAAAAAAATTAAGTTACAGTTTTCTAAGGAATTTAAACTCTGGTCTAAAGAGACTATGCAAATGGTTTATGCCAAAGAGGAAAATACCCTTTCTCCCCCGACGAGAAGTGTAGACGCATCCAAAGCCTCACACCGCCTGTCTTTGCCGCTAGAGGCACAGCACGGGCATAACTTGCGGTTGTTTTTGCTCGTTTCTTACCTCTGGGCCTTCTTTATAGCTCTGCCCCCCACCCCACCGGCGGCGGCGCTCCCGCGGCTGCACCCGGGCCGCCTGTTGGCTGCAGCGCCCGGCCGGCTCGCGCACACTCCCCGCGCTGCGGCCCGCACACGCGCGCTCCCGCTGCCTCCCGCCCTGGCCGCTCAGCCTCCGGCGGCGGCGGCGACTGCGTGGCAGGTAGCGAGCCAGTCGGCCTCGGTCCGGTAACCCATGGCAACCGCCCTGGTAACCCATAGCAACTGCGCGGCGGAAAGAAAGGGGGGGGAACCCGGGTGGAGGGGGGAGCGGGTGGTGAGTGGGAACAACAACCGCAGAGACAGGATTTACAGCACCGACCTGCAGCGCTCCCTCCCCTGCCCACCTGCCTCGAACGTGGGCACCGCGAGGCCCCCTTCCCAGAGTTAGAGTGACAGCTTGGCGGCTTGAAAAAAATAAATAAATAAAATAATGCAGAGGGGCCTGGGGTGGTGGGTTTGGTGCAGGAGGGAGCTTTGAATACCGATGACCCCCTGGGGCCTCCGGGTTCAGTCGTCTCCGGTCCCCGCTGGTTTGGCAGCGCGCGTGGAGCCGGCCCCCGCCGCTCGGGTGGGTTTCGGGCTTGGCTGGGTCAGGGCGGCCGGGCCGGGGAGCCGGCGGCGGCCGCTCTCAGTCTAGGGCTGGACCCGAGTCTTTGTTCTGCAGATGCTCCCGCGGCACTGCGGCCTCCGCCGCGCCGCCCGGCCCGAGAAGGGGCGACGACGCGCCGCCGGCGCGGGTGTGGTTCAGGCCTAGAGCGGACCCGGAGCGTCCCGGGGTCGCGGCGGGGCTGGGGCCAAGACCACGCGTTGAGAAAGCTTTATCTGCGCACGCACCGCACACATTAGTCGACCCCTTTCTCCTCTAGTCTCCCCAGAACCCTAAATAAAACCTGCGGGTGGGCGCGCCGTCGCGTTAACCCGTTAATCTGTCTGGGAAGGGAGGGGACCGACGACGCTTGGTGTGGGGACTGGCTCGCCGGGGAAGAAGCGCGTGCCTCTGGGTCCAGAAACGGCCCTGGGTCAGGGTTTAATGTGTGTATGTGGGAGGGTGAGGGACGTATAGGGAGGGACAAGTCCCTCACCCCATCAGGCCTGGAGCCCAGAGGCCGAGCTTCCTTTACGCTGGAAAAAAGCGCGCGGCCAGTGGCGACCCGATGCAAGGCTGCGGGAGGACAGAGGGGGGCGCTGCTGGGCCAGCGCGGTGGCCCGGCGGTCCGCAGCAGAACGCGCCGCCTGGGATCTGGCTAGCTGTCTGTGTGGTGGCGTCGAGTTAGGGCTCCCAAGTGGAAAGAACCCACGCCTCACACAGCTTTCCGTCGGTGCTTGGGAGCATCATCTGCTCGCTTGTGTATTCGCAGAACACCCAGCCCTCAAAAGGATGATGCAGGAAACACAACCGGAACAGGGTTCCGATACAG